CCGAGGCCACGCCTCTTCCGTCTCCCTCCGTCGGCGTCCCCGCGGCTGGAGATCCGACTGCACAGACCAGTGGGGGCGGCGCTGGCACAGGCGCCACGCACCCCGATGTCGCTGGTGCACCGAAAGGCAGTGCGGGGGAAGCAGCGGCGCAGGCCACCGCCAACAACACAAATCGGAACACCGCCACTGCGACTGACAGTAAGCAGGGGAGTGGAGTTGCTGGAGTTTCTCCCACGCCCGGCGATTCTGCGCGCGTGAGGGAGCCGCAGGGGACAAGGGCGGAGAGTGCGCCACCGCGACCAGCAGGCGAGCCCCAAACCGCCCCAGAGGCGCCACGGGCAACGAAAGCACCGCCGGAAGCCAAAGGCAACGGGAGCGCAACCGAAACTCTGCAAACACAGGGGGAGGCCGCAGTTGCCGCAGGGAGTGCGCCGGCCGGCGACAGTGCGGCGCAAGAGGCTCCGTCGCCTTCTCCTCCGAGTGGCGGTGTTATTGCCAGCACCGACGCCGAAGAGCCCACTGAGAAGACTCGCGAGGCCGCCCAAACTTCTGAGGGCGCGCCGACGCAAGAAGGAGGGCGCCAACAACGTGAAGCTGCCGCTGGCAGTGCGAGGGACAAAGCACCGGCAGCAGAGGCCTCCACCAGCACAAACGACGCAGCGACTCCGGCAGCTGGCGGAGAAGGAACCGCAACACCGCCAGCCACCACAACCAAAAAGAATGCAACGAAGCCGGCGCCCGGTGACAGTGACGGCAGCAGCACCGCGGCCTCCCCATTTGCGCTGCTGCTTCCTCTTTTTGCGTGTACAGCTGCCGCTGCGATGCTGGACGCGTGAGAGTGCGACAGAGAGTGGGGTGGAGGGCCGTGCTTGCACACAGCTCGTTCTTCTTTGTTTCTTTGTCTCCGTGCTCCCCTGCACGGACTCTCTCGCCCCTCGCACCACCCCACGAGGCAGACAACACATAATGTGCTCGTAATGTACACAGCTCCACTCATGCAGGCCGTCGGTCCTCTTCTTCTTTTGCCCCCTGATGAGCCGCT